CGCGGTCGATCCCGACCGCAGATCTGCGGATCTGCAGCCGAGATCGGACGCGTTTTGAAATGTGAATCGCAGCATGGTTTTGCGCTGCCTCCGCCCCTCCTAAAGGCCTGCCCCATGCTACAGCAACATCACACAACGTTGATGTCGTGTCATTCAGCATGCACGTCGACGTCGTGTGCTGCCACCACGCGACCAGTGCCAGCGCCCCGTCTCCAACCCACCATCGAAATCTCTGTGAAGCTGCTTTGCCCCGCCAGCCTGCTTCGTCGCAACAGCCCCCCATAGCCGCGAAGGTAAGTCCACCAGCGCTCCTCCTCCTCCTCCTCTTCTTCTTCTTCTTCCTCCTCTTCGTCTTCTTCTCTTCCTCCTCCTTGTCCTCTTCCTCAACATCTTTTCCCCTCTTCTTCTTGTTCTCCTCCTCGTCCTCTTCTTCTTCATCTTTTTCCCTCCTCCTCCTCCTCCTCCTCCTCCTCCTCCTCCTCCTCTTCTTCTTCCTCTTTTTCTTCTCTTCCTCGTCCTCATCATCTGTTTCCCTCCTCTTCTTCTTGTTCTTCTCCTCGTCCTCTTCTTCTTCTTCTTCTTCTTCTTCTTCTTCTTCGTCTCGTCCTCCTCCTCCTCCTCCTTCTTCTCCTCCTCCTCCTCCTCCCGCCCCCCCCGTCCTCGTCCTCAACATCTTTTCCCCTCTTCTTCTTGTTCTCCTCCTCGTCCTCTTCTTCTTCATCTTCTTCCCTCCTCCTCATCCTCTTTTTTTTCTCCCCCTCCTCCTCCTCCTCCTCCTCCTCCTCTTCATCCTCTTTTTCTCCTCCCCCTCCTCCTCCTCCTCCTCCTCCTCCTCCTCCTCCTCCTCGCCTTCTTCTTCCTCTTCCTCTCTTCCTCCTCATCCTCATCATCTGTTTCCCTCTTCTTCTCGTTCTTCTCCTCATCCTCCTCTTCTTCATCTTTTTCCCTCCTCCTCCTCCTCCTCCTCCTCCTCCTTTCTCTCCTTTCTCTCTTCTTCTTCTTCTTCTTCTTTTTCTTCTTCTTATTCTTCTCTTCTTTCTCTCTTCTTCTTCTTCTTCTTCTTCTTCTTTCTCTCTTCTTCTTTTCCTCCTCCTCCTCCTCTGGAGTACATCATCTTCGTCTTCTTTCTCTCTTCTTCTTCTTCTTATTCTTCTTCATCTTCTTCTTCTTCTTCTTCTTCTTCTTCTCCTCCTCCTCCTCCTCCTCCTCCTCTTCTCTCCTCCTCCTCCTCTGCTTCCCTCCCCGTCGAGCCATAGCCATAGCCATAGCCATAGCAAGCGCAGTCGGATGCCGCCATAACGCCCCCACCCCCCCCAACAACCCCCCAACCCCCGCCCCCACCCCAACCCCCCCCGCCCCCCAAGATTCCAGACTTTGCAAGGTTTATTGCGGAATCCGACAGATCACAGCTAGCGCAGTCGGATGCTGCAATCAGAAAAAAAAACATAAAAAATTGGGCATTTTTTGGGGGCATCCGGTTTTGCCGGTTCGCCCCCCCTGGACCGGGGCAGGTAATCCGGCCGGTTGCTGGCCCAGCCCTGCTTTAAACATAATCCTCCAGATTAAACTCTCTTGCTGGAATGCATCTGTCCATCATCTTGACGATCTCAACACCATTGCACCTCTTCGCAACACGAACTACCGATGGCACATGTTTGGAATGCCAAATGATATTTACTCCTCTGCAGTGTTGGCATGTGTTTCCTGCATATTCTTTTGTGTGCTGCAGCAAGGTTCAGAAGTTTGAATAGTGTAGAGGCATCCGCTTAGTGGCCGATATAGCAATCAAAAGTGGGTGTGTTTGTGGCTACTCCATTTGCACTCAGTTTGGATACAGATCAAAATTTATGGTCAGCCCACTTCTGTCACACTGCTTCCGTTCATCACCCTGGAATCCCCAACCCGGCTCCCATTTGTGACAACGAGCAATGGGAACAAACAACAGCATATATTGGTTGAGTGAGACTTCCTCTCAACAGTGCTGACGTACCTTCTGCACATATCCTTCTATGTAACGAAGCAATTTGTTACTGTAGAGATGGTGTATGAGCTGTGGAACATAGTTGAATCTGTCACAGACGTTGATCAATGGTCTCGAATCCGGCAACTTGATATCCAACAAAAAGTCGAGGACTTTCTCAGGGTCATAGTGATTGGACTCTCTTGTTACTCTCTCCACTTCTTGCAACTGATTCATTTTTGCAGCTGCCTCAATATACTTGAAATGAATTTTCTTGTCCTCACTGTACGTCACACACAGCAAAAAGAAAACAACCGATCACCAGACCTTCACCACGTTTGAAAAAGCGCATACACAAAGTGCCAACATACATGGTTTGCTCACTGCATAAGAACAACGGAACACGCACAAATTGGCATACAACTGTCATTATTACACACTGTCAAAAGACTGGTTCCTAGTGGTCTGCTCCACCAAGCAAAATGACCTACATACTAAATGTGCCGTCACGGGCCCTAGCCAACATGCACATGATATGGGCTGTGCCCCCCAGCAAGCATCGTGCCCAGGGTGCAACCACCCGGTCCTAGGCAGACCAGTCCTAGACAGACGCTTACCAGACCCCCTATAAATATTAATGGCAGGGATCTGTTCTGATTACTGGCTGTGATCGTCGTCCTGTCTGCGGCCTTAAATAATTCCTGAGGACCTTGGGGGCTGTCCTTAAACTGCCTCTTGATCAGCCTCTTTAATCGGATGGAAGGCTTGTTGCACGCGAGGATAAACAAAGGGCTGTGCTGGTCATAAGCAAGTTCCTGGGCACAGGGGTGGGCCATCAATGCACACCTTAGACACCGCTGCTTGATGATGCGGACAAGCACGTTGGATACAGGGGAAGGAAGGTTCGAATTGGTGCTCAACTACAATCACAATTATTTCCATTGTACATACATCTGCTCATGTTATTTATTTTTATTTTGATTAGTTAGTGGACAGACTGCCAACATCTAATGGACAGCTACATTAGAACTGTAGTGTTTTTCTGTTCAATGCTGCCGGATTTTAAATTATTTTTAATTATTTTTCAACCCGGTCAGACAATCTGTGGTAGGCTCTAGTGAGGGCACTAGTGCAGATACTGATCTGCCTAGCTGATGAGCGATACAGATAGTGGGGAAGGAACAGCTAACGATTCCGGTAGTGTTTCAAGTTCTGCTACCAGGGGACGAGAGAAGGTTCCGGGCCGAAGCACGGGCTTGACATCTGCAGACAGCTAGGAGCAGCTGCAAAGCGTGCTTTAGTGGAAGCTGCAGCTAGTGCTGAAGCTATGGCCGCTCCTGCAGTGACCTCTCAAGGTCCACAGACGTCGGCAAGAAAGCTTGGATTTAGAGGCTAAGCTAGGGGGAGCACAACAACAACACGTGATGGATGGGAGGAAGAAGACCCCACAAAAACAGAAGAAGGGTAGAAGATTGATGATGGTAGAGTCCGATGGGAATCAAACCGAGATCGATGATCTCTCTGACCTTGTGGAGGACATAGAGATAGGTGGCGAGGAGAGTGCAGAGGAAGGTAACCTCACTGCCATGACCAAAGGTAAGGCAACTGGTCGCGGCAAGGGCGGTCAGCAAAAGAGTTAGGGGCAGGCCCAAAACTCAAACAAGACTCCAGCTTGGGTGAGGGCGGGCCTAGATCAGGATGTGTGGAGGGACCGGTACTAGCAAGGAGCTTGCATCAACTGCAGCAAATACGGCCATCAGCAATTTAGATGTAAGAACGCGAAGGTCGCTCAAAAGATTGCGCCCAAAGGTGGTTTGGGGGGGTCTTTTGCCCAAAATGCTGCTTCTACGAGCAGTAATCAGGGAAACACAACCGGCCAGTAGAAGTTGTAGCTGCTTCTACTCGTGCGAGGTGGTTGACGTGCCCTCACCGCTTCACGAGTTGGCCGAGGGTATTGACTCACTCGTCACCCCACAGTCACGTCTGGACCAAACGACCCTCTGTTCGTTGGATGTGTTGAAACCTTAGAAGACTTGGAAAACCGAGTGGCCGGCAAGGACTCTCGTGAGTCTTGGGTGCCACTGTCAAGAGGAAGTCGACGTAGGTGGCCGCAAGCGTGATGCCTTCGTACACATCAGCTCCACGCGGGACTTTACAAGTCGCAACTGCGTTGAGAGACTGCGCCTTGGGGACCGGGTGCAACGCTTGGGTAAAAATGTAGCATCTACCCTAGTGAACAAAGAGCGCATGGTTGTCAATGACTACGTCATGACATAGTTTGCACCTTCTATTATGGAGGTGGGGAACTTAATCATAAGATTTTGTTCCTTGTTGGCGACGACCTGCCATTTGACATGCTCTTAGGTATGTACTGCCTTGAGGTTGCAAAGCCCCAGTTCCACTGGGGCCGAAAGGTGCTGAAGCATGTACTACCAGAAGGGAGGACAATCGGACTTGCCAAGTATAAAGTTAGTAGTCTGATAGACACTTATGGTTGCATGTGTGCGTCAGCGTTTTATTATTATTATAAACAGAACCAAGAGGAAGGTATGTGCAAGGAAAATGAGCAATAGCGAGATGACAATGTCCAGCATGCACAATCACATTGAAGGCCAGATAGTATCACATTGTCCAGAAAGCAGAAATGCACCAATATATTCGTCACACTGAAAACCAATGTCAATGAGAACTTACTCTCGCCACCGCCAACATCAGTGTCCAAGCCCTATCTTCCTACTTGGCGCTCGGCGTCCAGCCTACTATCTACACAGCTACTCTCTGCCTACTAATTAACATCGCAACTGTTGACGAGCCTCCAAAGTACTTGAAGATGTCGCTCATGCAGACTATCGCCAATACCAAGTACGTGGCCTCACATAGTCATCATCCTTCTCTCTCTCCCCCTCGTCTTACTCCCACGTCTTCCCTTTGTACACCCGAAGACCACCCCTGCGCCTCACTGTACAACCAAGCCCAACCAGCTATGGAGGTTGGGCTATGGCGCTGCCCGACAGCGCCCTGCTCCCTGCACGACCACACGAGCTAGCACCTCGCCTCTCAGCGCCAACATCAGCCCACGAGCGTCCGCTCCAGCAGCGCTGCCGCTAGCATGCGAGTGCCTGAATGCCCTCCAGGCCGTGAGCTCCTTCCTATATGAAATGAGCCTGTCTGTCTTCGCAGCCTGGTTGGCTTGGGCCTGGGCCCGAAAGCTTCCGGTAAGCCCCAGGATGTCGCGCCTCTCTTGCAGCTACTTGGCCTCATCTGGTTGGGCCTCCCAACTGTCTGTGTATGAGGCTGCGATTCTCGTCCAGGGCCTGCATCATTTTGGAAAGGCCTGGAAGGCCGTCGAAAGTCTCACTGATCGGCCTGTGTTTTCCTCAACCAACTGGCGCGACGAAACTGCCTGGACCCCAATTACGATATTAACAGCTTACGGTCTCTAGTGATTTGTCAGACCCGCCTTCACTTAGGGCGGGCACATTTGCAGCAAGAGGCCCCTTGGGCCTGCCTAGGACCCAGATCCTCGCATTCCCTCCTCTTCTTCGATAGTCCTCTGAGAAGTCTTCTAATCTGCAGGAACTTTTCCTTTTGAGTTCTCTTTCATACCCTACAATAACTTGGGGTGTTGTTCCCACGAGTTCTCTGGTGAACCACCGATCTTCCTCGGGGTCCAGATGATGTCTGAATCTCACATGGTACTCTGCATTCTTGGCTTAGGAGGGTGGCCTCTGCCCGGCGGTTTAGGCATTGCCATCACTCGATGCTCTATGATTCCGTCGATGTCGACTTCGCCATCCATGGTTGGTGGCAGCATTGACCGTCTGGAAGGGAACTGTGCAGTTTCTGCGAAAGGTGCCAGCTTGGATGCGTGAAAAACTGGGTGTGTACGTAGATGAGGTGGGACGTGAATCGCATAAGGAGGTCCATCCACCTGTTCCCCCACTATGTCCAGGACCTCCCAGGGACCGAAATAATGTTCAGATGACTTTACCCAGACCCTTTCCCCTACTTGAAAATTAGAAGGTTGTCTATGTTTATTCTCAAATGCAATCATAGCACCTTGAGATTTCCTCATGTGCTCAATGGCCTGCTACAGCATCTGTTCGTATGTGACAGCAAATTCTACGCTACCGGGTGCTGCAATAGCCTGTTTCTCAGGTAGTAGGAAATCAAGAGCGGAACGCGGCTTCCAACGAAGATGCAATTGGTTGGGAGTCATGCCAGTAACGCTATGTACTGCGTTGTTGTACAGGCTGGCGACGAGAGGTAGTTTCTCGTCCCAGTCATCCTGGCTTGGCTTGATGTAGTGCCTTAAATGCTGCACTACTGCACTACTCTGTTCACCTGTTCCGCCTGTCCATTGGACTCAGGGTGATTCCCTGATGTCATTTGCAGTCTGGTTCCCATCTGTTGGGCAGTGTTCTGCCACAGTTCGCTAGTAAAGCGAACATCCCTATCACTGACGATAGACTTAGGTAAACCAAAGTCCCGTACCAATGAACAGTATGATGATATAGTCAGTTTTAGCAGTCTCGGGCATAACGATTAGTCTTGCATATTTAGAAAAGTTGTCTACTCTAACGAAGATGTGTCTTTTCCCAGACCTGCTGGTCACAAGAGTACCCATGAAATCCAAGCACATGTTTAGCTCTAATGGCTTTATCCAGAGCTTCAATGGCTACGTCCTGCCCTCCAATGCTTGAATCAAATGCCTAGTGGCATGATCAAAGCGGATGATCGTAAACTTTGTCCTCCTCCACGCTCTCAAATGAAACAATCCATGGAGATACTCTGACCAGGACCTTCAGGAATCGGCAAGGGCTTGATGAGCCCCAGCGGAGCCCGAGTCCTAGGTTTGTCACGTTGATAGACCTGACAGGTTTCGACATACTTCTTGGCATCTTCCATCATAGAAGGCCACCAGAATTTCTGCACTAGGTTAGCTGAAGTTTTCCTATAACCGAAATGACCAGTTGCATCGTGACTCTCACCTAGAAATAAACTACGCAAAGACTCACTATTGGGAACACACAATCTTTTATTCCCTGCCTTTTCAAGAAACAGCAAGCCATCTACCATCGTAAATTCGTCAGAAGTTACTTTATCCTTCTCTTTGAACTTACAGACAGGGTTATTTTGGTGCCTACCGCCTACGCCTACAGTAGGCGGTAGGCGCGCCTACCAGTCGGGCCGACCCGTAGGCGGACCCGTCTGCGGTCGGCAGAACACCTAAATTGTTTTTTTTTTTTTTTTTGATTACATGGTCGTGTGCGGCTTGAGGAG